GAGAGAGAGAGAGAAAGAAAGAGAATCGATTAATATTTTCTAGTTTATTTAAAAAAAAACAACTTTTCTAGTAAAGAGAAAACGTTATATTTACAATAGATATTTAATTTTAAATCAATTAAAAATGCTTCAGTTAGTTATTTTTTTATCAGTTATTCCGCTTCAAACAATTTTGGTTGATTGTATAGGCGCAATCTTCAATGTTGATTATTTTTGACGCAAAGTCAACGTTTTAGTTTACGAGAACGTTTCCGCTGAAGTACTTCCTGATACCGCGAACGTGGTTTTGGCCGCGGTAATTATTCGAATTTAATTAAAACTCGCGTTCGAAGTGAGCTACGCCGTGGCGAAGTCATTAATTAAATTTAGGAGAGAATCGCGCGGTATCTTACCGTTGTATATGTAGGTAGATATGTACGACAGATACGAAAGAGATCGTTATTGCAAGTTCACGAACTCAGTTATAACTTTCAATGAATTCAGTTTCTTTTAGCGGCGCCGGAATTTTCTTTTTAGATTCGTCCGTTACTAGCTTCATTTCTGCTTCTGGTATGGACGCATTTCCCCGGAAACCTGCATTCGCAATTCAAGTATATAACCTAATTTCGAAATGAAATTCTATGCTGTCTTATATTATTCTAAAATAGTAGGCAATTAGTGAAATATGTACCGATATTTCAATTATCAAAAGAGACAAAATATCAATTTAAAGAACAGAAACTGCAAACAGAATCGCTTCGATTAATTTTAACTTCTTCCAGTATTTTTACTTTTTTTATAAACAAATATTAACTATAAAAATTAATAAAATCTACAATTAATTAACCATAAAAATCTTATTTATAATCAGATATACATATTTAAAATCAATTTTGAAAATTTTTCTAATTCTTTGACGTACATAATAATTATATCTGATTATAAATAAATAAGATTTTCATGATGAATTAATTGTAAATTTTATTAATTTTTACAGTTAATCTTTGTTTATGAGAAAAATAAAAATACTAGAAGAAATCAAAATCAATCAAAGCGATTCTGTTTGCAACAATTCTTATGTATATGATATATCTTATATTTATACTCTTTTATAAAATCTCAATATTACGTTTATCATTATTATGGCATTCTGAAAATTATATCTTATTAGCACAATTACTTAGGCTGTCTAACATTAATAATTCATGGTTGCTGTAACAAGTCTCGGATACGAAACCAAAAATTAATGCTTAAAGAATATATTTATTTAAATTGTTACAGGAGCGATCTTTACCGAGGATCAGAAGGATAGCCCGTCGGAGTTGGCATTCAAATATGCCATTTATAAAATCAACAAGGATAAGACTCTCTTGGCGAATACAACATTGGTTTACGATATCCAATATGTGCCTAAAGACGATTCGTTTCGCACGTCCAAAAAAGGTAAGAAAATAGTACATGACTTTGTGTAATTAGAAAAAATGAAGAGTATTATCACGATAGAGTTAAATATTTTTGAATAATTGATTGTCTGTTATCTCTTTTTCGAAAATCATATCTCTATCTTTGCAACCCAATATGACCTCCATACGAGAATGTATTGATGCATTGATATCGATAAAGCACGAATCTATTATTCATCAGAAATTAAATGATCGAACACTAATTATATTCTTAAGTGAAACTTATTAAGTGACAGAATCTAACATTATTAACATATATTTTAATAATATTATATTGTTGTTAATAAGAATTAAAAAAGTTAGTAAAAGAATAATAAAAATGGAATTTGATTATTTATTCCTTCAGAATTTTCGTAAAGAATATTTCATAATTGGTAGAAAACTAACTTTATGTTTTACATATCATACTATGAATATGAAAGAAGTATAAATAGAAGAAGTATAAATCAAAATATATCTAGTTTATGCAATTTATGCAATATAAAACGTAAATTAACTTTGCCAGAGTGCGAGTCAGCTGATATTTGTGAATAGTGATATGATACTATCTAAAACTAGCTAATTAATAAATTTAATCCCCGTTTTGACACAATCAAAAGACTGGCGGTTAAAGCACGACGCGAATCTCCTGTCGGTGGAGCGCTTTTGACATGCGAGCTTAAAAGTTGGCAGGAAGCCTAGCGAAAGCAATTCAGTTAGCGGTCAGCTATAGCGTGAATTACAGCACGAGGACGTCGCACGCGACATGATGTAGCTTCAGATTTATGTAAAATAACACGAAACCGGATCGACTCTGAGAGCCGAAACCATAACAATGTCTCTCGCGCGATCGCGAGTACGGCCGGATAAATCTCGTGCAACGAACCCGACCGGTTATGAATTCGCCACGGAGCAATGTCTCTTCGAAATGTGTTTTCTTACAAAATTCTACATTGCGTAGTAGAGATTCCATTTGTTTGGTTTATCTCGGCGATTCTCAAGTTGTGCTTCGCAAACTTACGATAGAGAAGTCACTTTGTTATCCAAAAGAAAAAAAATATATAAATGCGATTTAACAAACGTTAAATGTTTCAATATGACTGATGAGTTACAGAATGCACACAACCAGCGTTCAGTGATGCATAATTTCTTTCAAGAAGATTCCGCGCAAGATAGAAATATATAGAGATCAATAAGATTTCTGCGCTAGCAGGAAACCGCTTATATATGTGTATATATGAAGTGTGCGAATATGATATAACGATTAAAGCATTAAATCATGTAACTATCTCGGGAGCACATAAAATTTTCTTCTTGGAGCTCTGCGAAGATTCTTAACTTATTGAACAAGTGAGATAAACGAGGTCACGACGGATCTGTGTTTATACCACGAATTTTAAATCCACCAAAATATACATATCTCGAGAGATTGTTTATCCTATTTTTTTACAGAATAGAGCCAATAAATGGCTACAACAACGAGTAAAAAAATATAAAAAATATATAATAAATAAAAAATATTTTATAAAATTTTGTTAAAAAAACAATTCATCATTTTCTTTTTCTATAAATAACTAAATATATATCAAAACAGTTATATAAATGATAAATATATATTTTTATCATTCTCCCTTCTCGCTCTCTCTCTATCTCTCTCTCTCTCTCCTCTCTGGCAAAGTATCAAGGAATTGTGCGACCATTTACACCCTCCTAGGTTTCTCCAAGAGGGGAATATTTCGCCATAAATACGCCTATAGAATCCCATTATGCATAACAAGAATTCACGTATATTTTTTCCCTCTACGGCACACTTAAAATGATATCCATAGTTGGAAAGATTACTTCGCTTCCATTCCGTTCTCACCGCAGCAGTTTCTTCTTTCGAACGGGGTTGAACCGTGTCGAAACCGGCGCAAACTTTTCTAACTTTTCTTTTGTAAACTGGCTCACCCCGCGATAAATCTTTCATGTGTGCCGCCCGGGATAGGTGCCTGTATACATTTTTTCATTTCTGGATCTCTGCGCGAGTTTAATGTTGCGTATGCGAGAACTCAGTTGACTCGCGCCTAATATGCCGTGATGCATTTCGCCTAAAAGTAATCGTGGCTGATGCTCGCGCCGTTTGTGTTATCTTCGTCTAATGTGTCCACGGCCTGGATTTCTTCACGCGGAAACTTTTGAATGGATTGAAATTATACTCTACTGAGATAGAATCGAATATTTATGTATCACGAGATCTATATAGAAGAATTAAAGCATCATCTTTCTCGATATATATGATGAACTAAAAAAATATATATATATATATTTTTTTTTGTTTTTTATATTAACCCTATTATTATATCTACAAAATAATAAAATTACCGGATCATAAGATAAGAAGTTTTTTCATACAGTTTTATCAAACTAGAAAGAACTTTCATTAAATTATAGAAAAGTTGCATTTTAGAAGCTTTTAGAGAGCCAGCACAGGTTCGTTTTCTTAGCCTTTAGAGAACTGTTACATAAGATTCTTTATTTTCCGCACTGTTATGTCGGCTCTCTGACACAACAAACGAGGAACAAAGCCTCAATAGGAAATTGAATTCACGGCGAAATACTCAACTCAAGAAAATCCTCTATGAATTTCTAAAAGCATATTACGCGCGGATTACAAAGTATTGTGACATATTACCGTTAGAAAAATAAATTGTATGCAAATTGATTGTCAAAAGAGTGTGAGATATTGCTATTATATTCCTTAAAAACATAAACATGAAAATGAATTATTTATGTTCTTTTTTCATAGTAGGAATTTAAAATATATTATGTACTGTGTGAATATTATCATAAATACATTTTATTATTTTATTTCTATTTTAATTAAAATATGCTTTCGTTCACTTTGTTTCAATAGAATCACAATTGGAAAAGCAATCGTTAATTTAATAATTACTCAATCTTGAAAAAGTGTGTAAAAGAATACAAAAAAATAACATTCAATTAAATTTAACTCATATAATTTTAAGTTAAAAATATAAATTAACGTGTCATTGAAAATAATTAATAACAAATTATTTTAAAGTAAAAGTAGTAGTTCAGTAACTTTTTCTGTTATGTTCAGAAAAATTTTCTTTCCTCTAATATTACAGATGCACAGCACAATTTTGTTGTATGTTCTAGTGTTGTAAGAAACTAAATTATTTAGCGATAAAAAAATATATAAGTCTTTATTAATTTTCTGTCACAGTCAAAAAAATATTGTCCCAAGTGTCAATTCTCAAGTGTCATATAAAAGGGATCTCGCACAAATTTCGTTTCAAGTTTATATCGTAGGTGTAATTTTACTCAGATCACCGCGAAAGTAGAAAACAAAGGAAGATAGGAATCGGAAGAGACCTAAACCAGGGAAATTGATTGGATAACTTTAAGGAGCAGCGATCCAGGCCACCGAGGCGGAATACTTTAATGGGAGGTTCCGTTTTACGAAAGCTACGGCCAGAAATGGCGTGCAGCTAACCAAATGACGAAGCGATTATTTCGCCGGATTTTATTTTTCAGTGTCTACGGAGAAACTCCACTCGCACATTGCACTCGTAATCCTAATAGACAACCCCATCTCACTTGTCTGCTTCCCTCTTCCGCTCTCCTAACGACTTCGCGATGGCTTTTTAAAGAGATTTACAGCTCGTCATTGTCAGTAGGTTTAATCCGCTGGTAACTCAAACTGACAACTGTATATGAGAAAGTTTCGCAAGCATGCGAGTGCAGAGTTGCTTATGTAACTTTTAATGACGGAACTAACGAGATAGAACGTTTACCGGATCATCCTTCAACCGCGTTACGACAGTGATCGCAGAGAGTATACCGCAATTACGTGGCAATTAATTAGGATTTTGGATTTTAAAAAGCTCAACAATGTATTAAGAGAAATTCAACAATTAGATAAACTTTTTGCTAATAAAAAAATTTAATACACACACACACACACACACACACACACACACACACACAACAAAATTTCAGTTGAAATATTAATTATAATTATAATAGAAAGAAAAACATATTTATATCCATTTTTTTATTATTTAATTATTTTGTTTCAAATAATAATACTGAAATAATTAAATCCCTTTTTTTAATATTTATATTCTTTGTTCTAAATAAATTAATAAAATATATTTGTTTTACGTTCCATCAGCTTTAAATAAGTCTATCTAACCATTCAAAATAATTATTTATTTAACGAAGCGTCCACAGCAATTAAGAAAGAGTGTCTTCAAGTACACCGTAGACATACAGCACTATTATCACTTTAATTGTGATAATTTTGCGAAATTGTGGGAGCTGATCGTACTGTGCATTATATTGAGCTCATAAAAGTCATGAGAAAGCTCTAGCGCGGTTCTTTGTGCGGAAACTGCCACACTCATTACCGCAAAACGGATAAGCGTCGGTTCGTTAAACGAAATTGCGATATCGTAACGAGGTAACGATTCTTATTTACTCTCGGACGGAACGTTCGACTTAATCAACGAGTAGTGCGACGAGAAATTTTGCTATCTATGACAATAAAGTGTGCATTCTACGAAATGGCCCATTGTATGTTTGTCCACCTTTGTATAAATCATTCAGGCAAGTTAATCAGATTCGTATTACAAACAAGAGTTTTAGGACGAAATTGCGGTAATCTTCGAAAACAAACGAGCCAAGCAAGCATACAGCTAATAATATTTTTTACTGTCGAATGACTACCTCAGATAAGCTCTAGTAAACGTGAGACCGCGCACTTTGACTCTTACGCTTACGATATGTATACCATAGTGTCAAATGTCTGAAAAGTGAATTAATAAAATACAGAAGAATAGATGCAAAAGCAAATTATATAAAATTATTAGCAACATATTTCTGATCAGTAATACTATGTAAATCTTTTCTATGTAAAAGAAAAATTGAGAATACTTAAAATCATTGATATCTTTTCTAAAAGTATTTCATTACAATTATTATATTTATTCCTTTAAGCAAAGGCAACTGCTTCATCTGCACTATCTAATATTGTTGCTGGATTATTATTGCTGGAGAATTAATTTATCTAGTTATTAATTTTTAGTCCTTAATCAATTATAATGATTAAATACTGACTAAATAAATAAAATATAAAATATTTCATTGTTATAAAAAGTAGCATCAATGAAATAATTTTTCGTAAGTAAAAATGCATTAATGAGAAATTTAATTCCACAAAAATGAACATTAATACAATTTATATGTACAACGCGCGTGGAATTTAGTGCAGCCATGAATCATAATTTCCGCAACGAAAACAAATAAATACTTGTGAATAATTCAGAATGCAGCGATAAAACTCAGCCAACGAATCCTTAGAAGTAATAGTAGTAGTAGTAGTAGTAGTAGTAGTAGTAGTAGTAGTAGTAGTAGTAGTAGTAGTAGTAGTAGTAGTAGTAGTAGTAGTAGTAGTAGTAGTAGTAGTAGTAGTAGTAGTAGTAGTAGTAGTAGTAATAATAGTAGTAGTAGTAGTAGTAGTAGTAGTAGTAGTAGTAGTAGTAGTAATAGTAATAGTACTACGAAAATCAAACTTATCTATCTTTCAATCCAACTCTCCCTTACAAGCGTGCCAGGAATAATTCGAGATGTAAGGAAAAATAAAGCCATGGCTCGGAGGGCTTTTCCTTCAAGGATAATGGATAAGAAAACTGAACCGTTAAAGAAATGTATCAATTCCCCGTCTACTCGCCAAAGAATGCATATATCAAAAGATCGTAAATCATATATCATGTTATCTCCAAGAAATTGTCTAATAATATTGCACATTCGTATAAATATTTCAATATTATTCAATCCTATTTTTGCTTTTACATTGCCCCCGTTAATCTATCAATATTTTTATTTTTAAAGCAAATATACACGATATAAACAAATTGCTCGCAATTTCATTTATCAATGCATTATTCAATTACGAACATATTAACTATTGTATTTTTTCAATTGTTTAATTTTAATTGAAATTTATAAATTAATAAGTTTATAATCGAGTCCATACAGGAGTAAAATATTTACAGAACCAACAAAACAGAAATGAAAATTTTTATTTGTAGCTGCGTTACATTTGAAATCCTTGAAATTTATTAAAGAAAAACACATTTATTTCTATTTACCATAATTTTTATATCATTGCTTTCATTAAATTTGATAAAGAGGATATTTTAAGATAAATTACTTTCAATGTTGTGAAAATATTATAGAACTGTTTTGAAACAATAATCTATTATGCAAGATTATGAATGAACAGTAGCGAAGATCAAAAGAGTATATCATCAATTTACTGCAGCTTTCGCTGATACAAGAGTAGCCTGAAGCTTCCAAGTGCGCTTCATCTAGAAATATGAAATTGATATGTCAGAACCAGTCGTTCTCCAATCTTCGTTTTAGCACGCCCTCATGCCCCCATTGACATCTTTCCCGTTCGTCTTATATCATATTGTCGTATTTACTTTTAATATGCTAGTGAAGTATTTCTAAAATACATCTCACAATCATTGAAAAAATTTTAAAACATAAAATACATAAAATTATAAGAGAAATAATACTAAATTAATGTTTAATATTTAATAAAAGAATAATTGAAATGACCATTTGCACAAAATCTAGACTGTCAATAAAATTTCGCATCTGTGATTAATAAATAATTGTTTTATAATTTTTAAACATTTATGTTAAATTGTTTAGAGTTATTTAATTTTTATTGCAGCTTGCAAGCAATTATCAAGATCGGTGCAAGGAATCTTCGGACCATCCGACCCACTTTTAGGCGCTCATATACAAAGTATATGTGAAGCATTGGACGTCCCTCACCTCGAAGCGCGGGTCGATTTCGAACCCACTTTCAAGGAGTTCAGTATCAACTTATATCCCGCACAAGATCAGCTTAACAAAGCATTCAAAGATCTTATTTCCTTTCTAAACTGGACCAGAGTGGCCATTATTTATGAAGAGGATTATGGTGAGTGAAAAACAATAAACAATAAACAATTCGAAAAACTACTGCTCGACAATCCACACCCTCGAGTCCACACTCATACATGTATAGCCTAACAAAATAATATTCGATATCTTATTAATATCTATCCTTTTTAATCTTATTTTCAATGTAATGTTATATATAGAAATTCGTATGTATCAATTTACTTTAAATAATTCTTGCGGTATGATACCATTACACGTTCGTCCGAAAGCAGCAAAAATGATTTTAACGAAACGCGTGGTACGCGATGGATCGTGAGTACAAACATGTAGACAATGTTAATACAGCGTCCCAGCTAAAAGATTTCTCGATCAAACGAAACTCATTTTATCGCAAGCATCGTATAACAGCAACGTGGAAACTACTCCATGGATATCCGCAGGAGGGCCGATCTCGTTAGCACCGCGGACGCGTTCATTACGCAAACACGTTTTTATTTTATTTCATTTCATTTTTGTTTTCTCCGCAGCGTCAGTGATGCGTTCCTATGCAAATAGAACGTCGGAATCAGGCGCCGGAAGTGGAATCTCACCGCAGTTCGAAATGTCGGCCTGTCACTCGCACGCGGAAGTAACGCACGCGTTTACATACGACGACGTAAATTTGCGACGACCGCTCACGAGATTACTCCCCCACTTTCTGCTCTCTTGCCACTTTTTGCCGTCGACTTAATCCCCTTGGTCACGGCTCCCATGGTTCCTCTTGGCGCCCATTTCCATTTCGCGACGGATTGGCACCATCCGCGGCTCATCGAAATTCCGACATGGAGTTGACGTATAATATCTACGCCGAAGTCATCCACCATTTCCATTCTTTTCGAATCGCATTAGTATATTTTAACTATCACCGTCCATACAGAGAGAAAATGTATGAATTTATTCGCGTCTCTTCCGTCTATATTCAAGAGGAAGTATTTGCATTTATTTGTCTAAGTACAAAAAACAGTTGTAATATCGCCATAATAAAATAATTATTCAAAGTAAACACAATTAGAATTTGATTTGGAGATCAGAAGTAAAATTTTTTATTTACGCGAACAATTTATTTATTTAACATATCCAAAAAATTATTTATTTTATTAAATTTGTTTAAGTATAAATAAAATTTATTTTCTATCTCTTTCGTTGCGTTCTAATGATTAATGATGAATATCGTGGATCTACCATATACATTTGTGAAATGAGTCCTTTTCCTCAGTTCTCTTGCGAGGGAAAAAGTGGAAAGTCTCCGACCTTATCTTCCCTAAATTGCCGCTCTTGATTGGACGATGTAACGTGGCGTATAACAGGAGCACGAAGTAGAACGTTGCCGTTAGCGATAAAACGAGAGGAAACGGAAACAGTGCGCTTTTTTTGCGCAAGCCCCCCCAATGTCTATAGCCCGCCATAAATCCACGACGAGGGGACGAGGCAAGGCGTTTCAAAATTCCTCGCTGTAAAAGCGATGCGCGTCGAAAGAGTCTCTGCTATAGCTCGCTCGGAGAAATGTAACATCCCGCATTCCAGTATCACCTAAATATTCATCAGTCTAGAAAATCCACATCTCACGAGTTCGTTAAAACTTTAACGTGCAAAGTCGCTCACTTAAACGTCATTAAACGTTAAGCGGCGCCGACATCAATCGAGAGAATGATACGATTTGCAGTTTCAATAAACGCAGTGATTTTGTAAATTCTCGGACAATAATTGTTATTTAATAAGTTTAATTAGCGAGTTTTAAGTATAATGAGAACCGCTCCGAGATTTTGAATAAACCTCTCCCAAGCACTTTGCAAATTTGGCAAGCCCTCTGCCTTGTTCGTTGTCATTTAGTTATTCATAGCCGGAGAAACGCCTAGTTTCGCAGTTCGTTAAAACTTTACCGGGTGTGAAAAGTTTCATTTTTCGGCGTAAAATAATAATGAATGATTTAATGTGACGGCGAGACATTCGTGATTTCGAAGCACGAATACGTGTACAATAACGTGATATGTAAAATTGTAAAAGTCGCTTTTAATTTTAAATAATTAATTATCACTTCGGTTTAACAATGGTAACAGCTGCGTACTCATTTAGACTTGCACCCACCGTTCCCTCATAAAAGTTCAACATCTGTTTAGTTAAATTAAACTTATTACAAAATATTACTATTAGAACATATTTAATGTTTGTGTTAATAACTTTTTAAACCTCTTCGAATAAATTATTTATATGTTGTATAAATGTATTAAATTACTAATTAAAAATTTTTGTTTATTAATTTTCCTAAACAATTTTAAACAGATTCGAATCTTTTAAAAATAATATAAGCATGTATGACAAAGCTATACTCTTTCAAGATAACATTTAAAAGTTTGTAGAAACGAGTATGTTGCAGTATCTATATTGAATTGTATCTATGACTTCAATGAGGTCAAGAGATCTCACACATAAAAGTTATCGTCAAAATGAGGAGGGAACAAGAGCAGTATACATTTTTCCTGAATTCTTTTCCGCCTTCTCTTTCTGTATCATGCAATGCTGTCATAAATTCCGAGATATAACACTGTGTGATAGCTACTGCTATCTACTGAGTTAATTTTGTAAACCAAACTACCCTCGCAATCTTCCTACTTTCCCTTTCACACATTTCTTCGAGCATGGTGCTCGCGTTTAGGTTGTTATAAGAGAACCTCGATTTTCCTTCTGACCAGTATCTGAGATATTTCTACTCCGTCACTTACTTTAAGTTTTTTTACATAAATTTAATTTAATAAACAATATATAAGTACGTGCAAATAATAATTATATTATTTAAGTGTATCACATTAATTGTAGTTAATATTTAATTGTATCATAACCTCGTAAAATTTATTTCATTTTCAATTATTCATAAGCAAGTCTCGATATAAAGATTAATACCAGAAAAAATCAGCGCTAACTCATTCAAAGAAACTGTCATTGAAATTATGTTCTTGGGTTTGAGAACATCTTGTACACAAATGGAAAAGAAGTATGCAAGCAACCATAATTGCTCGATTTGTTCAAAGTGAAGTTTACCATTTTTCAATTTTACATTTTGTGCAAAATGCAGTTCTTCTGCAGGCTACGCTCGTTAAAGCGCCAGAAGATTTATCTTCTTCTGCTTCCCTTTCGTCGTCCTCTAGCTGTTTATCGATCCTCTTCTTGCCGTCGTTCTATTCGTCACGATCATTACGAGGGAGTAATTAGCGAGCTCAAAGTCGGCGACATCCACCTGGGTGTCCGAGAAGTTTCCTTTAGAAATACGGAAAAGTAAGATTACACTGGGAATCTCACGACTTTATCAGATTTGTATCCTTTAGTAAAGTCAGAAGACTCGCCGCTTGGAAATTGAAAGTATCTAATGTGCTGAATGCACTAAGTCAATGATAATATTTTTCGTTCTTTTAATATTTTAATATTAAAAAATTTAATTGTAGTTTAATTATAATTTATAACAATTTAAAAAATGCTTGTTAATTATAAAAATTATTATAATTGTTCAAAATCTTTTTTAATACAGACTAAATAATTTAATCATTACGTCAATGATTAATTCTATTTATTTTTATATAATTGGAACAGGAAGAAAAAACAAACTTCGATCGAATTG